AGTCCAGGTTCACTGGCAAGAAAGTACATTCAGAATGAATTTTTGGGTGATAAATGGAACCAGTTTAAAACATGTTTTTTTGACACTTATAGTGCTAATGATTTGAATAATATTTCTCAAGAGTTTTATGAAACTTGTGCTCTACAGAATCAAATTATGTATTTTGTCCCCTGGTTTATAACAACTTATTTATCTTTATTCATCAACGTTCTTGAGCGATCTTATAAAGATGGATCTGGTAATATTATTAAGGTTGTTTATCATCCTCAGTCATCTTTTGTTTTACCAAATAATACAGGTATCACCTTTACTGCCTTTCAAAAATTTGTTGAAGAAGATGTTGCGGCAGTCAGCATTAATGAAATAAATAATTTAATTTCTCAAAATAATTATTTGGGACTTTATGTTAAAGTTTTGGGTGAACATATTAGTTCTCTCGATTAAAAATTAAATGAATTAACTGCTTTGATAATTCAAATAAAAAATGAGATAAAGACTTCTGATACGACTTCTACTTCTAAAAGTAACTCGGAAGCTCAGATTGTTGCTACTCATGTGCAAAGGCCCCCTGAGTTTCAGGATTTTAAATTTAAATCGATTTATGATTTAGAAGAACTTCTTGATAAAAAATTGTCTGAATTTGGTGCAAAGCCTATTGATTTGTCAAACAATTTTGCAGATGACATGGAAAAAACTTTTGATTTTAAAAATCATGTTTCCTTAGAAGTTAATAAACTTCATGGTTATCCCAAAAAGGATAGTAATACTAAGTATGCCCATAAACCTAGCATGCATACCTATTATTACTCCTGACCAATTCCTCAAGATGTGTTAATAGAGGAACAAGATTGGAATCAGACTAATACCTCTTATAGTGGGTTTGAAATTTATGAATGGAATCTTGATGGTTTGACTGATAGACAATTAACAATTCTTGTTCATAGAATGCTTATGTATGCAACTATCTGTAAAAGTGTTAAAAATACAGATAGAAATATTTGCAAAATGATTATTGCAGGTTTTACTGGCCAACTCAGAGGTTGGTGGGATAATTATATGAGTATTGAGCAAAATGCACCGGTGATAAATGTTATTGCTGATAACAAAAGTGTTGATAACTTGGGCATGACTCTAGTGAAAAATAGAGAAGATGTTGTTTATACTTTAGTCTTAACCATTTTAGAACATTTTAATGGTATATTTACCAAGCAATATGAGACTATTCGTACACTGTTAAATTGGTCTACGATGTAGAACCTTAGGAGAATTTAGATGGTGTAAAGATACTTATATGAGTAGGGTGATGGAATTACCCGAAAATAGTAATGAGTATGGGAAAGCTAAGTTTATAATACTTTAGTCTTAACCATTTTAGAACATTTTAATGGTATATTTACCAAGCAATATGAGACTATTCGTACACTGTTAAATTGGTCTACGATGTAGAACCTTAGGAGAATTTAGATGGTGTAAAGATACTTATATGAGTAGGGTGATGGAATTACCCGAAAATAGTAATGAGTATGGGAAAGCTAAGTTTATAAATGGCCTTCCCCCTTTGTTTGCCGAAAGAGTTAGAAAAGCTCTGAGGACTGGTCATGGTGAAATTCCTTATAAGGATTATACTTACGGTAAGCTGATAGGAGTTTGGACTCAAGAAGGAATAAATTTGTGCAATGAATTGAAGTTATTTAGACAGCTTAAGATGGATAAGCTTAAAGAAAGATCTCAGCTAGGAGACTTTTGTTCCCAATTCAGTTTACCTGATACTTCTGCTAATAGCAAGAAGAAGAAACATAGAGATTCTAGAGGCTCCAATCCTGATAAAACTTATATGAAAAAGAGGTCTAGATATAGATTTAAGGAAGAACACGATTCTAGAAAATCCTTTCGTAAGTCTAATAGATTTACCAAGAGTAGGTCCAAGCGAGATCTCGCTAAAATCAAGTGATATAGATGTGGAAATTTCGGTCATATATCACCGAATTGTAAGCTTGAAAAGTTGAAATCCCTAGAACTTGATGAAGAAGTTCATGATAAGGTTTATAGTTTCTTATACACTTCTGGTTCTGAGTCTGATTATGATTCTAATTCAGGTTCTGAAGAAGAAGTTGATTTGCTTGATATTTCTGATGGTAATCAGCACGATAAAATGAATGTTTGCAATTCCTGTCATGGTGATATTTGTTCTTGTGAAAATGATGAATTTTATAAATTACAATCTCAATTTCAAGATTTGAATTTAAATACCATTACTTATGATCTGAAGAAGAAGTTGATTTGCTTGATATTTCTGATGGTAATCAGCACGATAAAATGAATGTTTGCAATTCCTGTCATGGTGATATTTGTTCTTGTGAAAATGATGAATTTTATAAATTACAATCTCAATTTCAAGATTTGAATTTAAATACCATTACTTATGATAATGTGATAGAACTTTTAAAGGAGGTCACTGATAATGATCTTCGAGAAAATATTATTCATTTGGCTGCAAATAATAATGCTAGTTCAAGTTCTTCAAAAAATTCTTAAAAACAAAAAATGATTTTGAATTTGAATATGCTACACCTTATTCATTGTCTGAAATTAATAACAGGCTTAATAAACAAACTACTCCTACGAGAGATTCTTCCTTTGATGATTTGCAAAATGATATTGCAAATTTGAAAAATGAGATTAAAATCTACTTAAAACAAAATAGATTTTGAATTTGAATATGCTACACCTTATTCATTGTCTGAAATTAATAACAGGCTTAATAACAAACTACTCCTACGAGAGATTCTTCCTTTGATGATTTGCAAAATGATATTGCAAATTTGAAAATGAGATTAAATCTACTTAAACAAAATCAAATGATTTGTGATCATAGACTTACTCAAATAGAAAATGTTAATAACAAGGTAAAAACATTGTTGAAGAAAATACTCTTGCAAAAACCTTTTAATACTTGATCCTAGACAAGGTATGTTTTTAGGAATGATGCAAATTGTAACTGCTCATAAATGGTATATGAAAATGCACCATATTGATTGATAATAGTTTTTCAATAACTGATGTTGCTATGAATGATAGTGGAGCCGATGTTAGTTGTATTCAAGGTCTTGTACCTACTAAATATTTTGAAAAAACAACTCATATTTCCTCTGGACATGCTTTAGATATAAAGTATAAATTACCTAATACTCGCATTTGCCAAAATAAAGTTTGCATTCCGCATTTCTTTTTCTTGGTTAAAAATCAGTTATACCCTCCAATTATACTTGGAACCCCTTTTATAAATGCTATTTATCCTTTTACTAGCATAAATGCTAAAGGTTTTACTGCTACGTATGAAGACAGAGATATTAGTTATACTTTTATCACTGACCCTATTTCTCGTGATATTAATGTTTTGATTAATATGAAACAAAAGCAAGTTGACTATTTGCAACTAGAATTGTTTAGCATAAATATATTTGAAACTTTGAAATCCACCAAAGTACAAGAAAAAATGAAATTAATTTCTGAACAAATTACAGTTGATATTTGTGCCGATCATCCTAGTGCCTTTTGAATTCGAAAAAGGCATATTGTTACTCTTCCTTATGAAGATGATTTTTCTGAGAATGATATTCCTCCTAAGTCCCGTCCTTGTCAGATGAACACCGAATTGGTAGAATTCTGCAAAAAAGGAATTTGAAAATTTGTTGCAAAAAGTTTTGATAAAACCTTCAAAGTCACCTTGGTCTTGTACTGCATTTTATGTTAATAATGCTACCGAAAGGGAACGTGGCGTCCCTAGATTTGTTATCAATTATAAACCTTTAAATAAATATTTAAAATGGATTAGGTATCCTATTCCCTACAAAAGATATTTATTGTCTAGATTATATGATGGCAATATATTTTCAAAATTTGATTCAAAATTAGGATATTGGCAGATCCAAATATTTAAAGAGCATGCTTATAGGACAGCTTTTAATGTCCCATTTGGACAATACGAATGGAATGTTATGCCATTCGGTTTGAAAAATGCTCCATCTGAATTTTAGAAAATCATGAACGATATTTTCAATCCATATATGGATTTCATCATTGTTTATATTGATGATATTTTAGTATTCTCAAAAATATTTGAAATGCATATTAAGCATCTTGATATCTTTAAGAAAATTGTTATACAAAATGGTTTGGTCATTTCTAAATAAAAAATGAGTTTGTTCCAAACTGATGTTCGATTTCTAGGACATCATATTTGTCAAGGAAAAGTTATCCCGATTCATAGATCAATCGACTTTGCATCAAAATTTCCTGATGTTATCACTGATAGGACTCAATTGCAAAGGATTTTAAGGAGTTTAAATTACATATCCCCTTTTTATAAAAAAATTATCTCATGATTTGGCCCCTTTATACGACAGGCTAAAAAAGGATCATAAATCACCTTGGACTGATAGTCATACTGCTTTGGTAAAGGATATTAAACTTCGTGTTCAATCTTTACCATGGTTAACTCTTGCTAACCCTACTTGGCAAAAAATTATTGAGACAGATGCGTCTAATATTGGTTATGGTGGGATATTAAAACAAATTAGTCCCAATGACAAAAATGAATATTTGATCAGATTTCATTCTGGGAAATGGAGCGAGGCCCAGAAGAAATATGATACGGTGGCTCATGAAATGTTAACCATCGTTAAATATGTGTTAAAATTCAGGATGATTTATATAATCAAAAGTTTTTGATAAAAACTGAAGCTCAATCTGTTAAGTATATGTTTAACAATGATTTTAAACATGATGCATCAAAATTAATTTTTTCTAGGTGGCAGGCCCAATTAACTCCTTTTGATTTTGAGATCCAATATAAAAAGGAAAGTGATAACTCTCTTCCGGATTTTCTATCCAGAGAATATTTAAATTCATTATGAGTTTTTATACAACTTTCATTGATGAGAAAACTTTAGTTACTATTTTAAAAATAATTCCTCTTAATAAAGATTTGCAGGAACTAATTTTATGTGAAATTATCAACGATATTATTTGTGAAGATTTCTCTGTACATAATTATGAAGAAATTGTCGATATCGATGAAGAGAATTATTACAGTGACTATTATGATACATCCGAATAAAGTAAAGTGTTATGTTTGTAGGATGGACTCTCCTTGGGTAACCATGGGCAGAGGAAGGGGAAGATCTTCCCCAGGATCATCCTATGGATCCTCTTCTAACACCTCAATTATGCAAATGGGAAGAAAGAGTTTGATAAACTCAAGAATCTCCCAAAGTGAGGCGTCATCTTCAGTACATCTGGAAGATATTCCAGAAGACAGCTCATTATATGCACAGCTACAGGCTTATCTGTCACAAAAGAAAAATGATACTTTTGCATCAATAGCCAAAGAAGACAATGATGATATCAAGTCTTATGAAAAGGTATCAAAAAAAGAAATGATAATTCTTTTAGAAAGCTGTGAAATACAGAGAAAAGAAGAACCCTGGAAGATATTCAAGCGATACCTAATAAACGGTTTATATTTCCTGGGTGAATCATACAAAACCCGATCATATTACGAAACCATTCTGATAAGCACGGGTAGTGTTGAATTTCAACACTTTTCAGGCTACAATACAAGTGAGAATGTTTATAACTTCTCGAAAATGATAATTAAACAGATTATATCTGTTGAGGATTGAGGTATCTCCACCATGAAAGAAAGGCAGATCAGCCTAAACAAAATCGATATGAGTTTCACATACTGGTACTATACTCATGTCTTTGATAAAGTCCTCTATTATAATAACGAAAGACATAAACATACGTGGTTTATGAAAATATGTGAAAAGATATTTGCAGGACCAATTCCTAATTGGTTTCCAAATTGGTGGTCATACCACGACCCGACTATAAAAATTCTGTTGGATCCCTTTCTTAAATTATATAAAGAATGGGTTAAAGTCTCACCAGATCTTAATGAGTTATACAATACACATCATATTTGTTATCTTGAAAAAATAGGCCAGATTTATTTTTTCATTGAATTTTCTATCCCTTGGATTCACAAATGGACCCCAGAAGTGGGATTCACCGAGGAACAAATCTCTTATTTATATAGGACTTTTTACAATCATTTTTTGGATAAATTGATGAAAAAGGATCCCAAAACAAAAACGTTATACGGGCAAGAACTGCTAGATCTTATTGCAACAAGGATCCACGAATATAGTATTACTCCCTAAAAGGGAATCATCGCTGATAGCTCGGTCAGGCATATTGCCAGGAAAATCTCCATTCAAGATGGAGATAAAGAAGAGATGATCAACAACTATTTAGAAGAGGTTAAGAGGAGTCTTCTTCTAAATCTCACTCAAATTGAAAAATCTGACACTTCTATGAGAAGTGAGACGAGCGATGACACTACCGATGATAACCAAGAAGCTCAACCTATTGAAAAACTATGTCAGAAGATACTCTGAGAAAGGCGGAAGATTTCCTCAAAAAATTAAAGGAAAAGGACATCTTTTTCTAGCAATAGGTAACCATTAGGATAGATATATGACCCGTTAAAAATATTTGTTTCAATTAAGCATGTGGTTACACATCTTTTTCTTGAGATATTAAAATAAATTCAAGGATGCCGTGACGCACCTTGTCCAAAACTATAATTGTTTTTCATTAATTTAAAATAACACTTTTAGATAAAGTTAATAAGTTTGATGCAAAGAAGACAGTTATGTCTCTAAACGTCAAGACCAAGAATGCGGTTACGCATATAGGTTGAGACCAAATAAAAGTTCAACAAATTAAAAAAAAATGCGAGCAAATCATGGCTACAACATAATTATCCAATAATAATAATAATAGTAATAATAATAATAATAATAATAATTTCAAGTATAAGTCAATAAAAGCGACTGTGCTAGAACCACGAAACTCGAGGGAGGCCTAATACCTTTCCCTCGGTCAACTTAATTCTTTACCTGAATTTCTGGTTCGCAAACCAAAAAAAGAGTCATTTCCTTTTGATTAGGGATTAAACAAAATGGTGACTTGCAACACCATAACTCAATTCCAAGTGGAGATTCTGAAAAAATAAAAACAATCCCTAAACCAATACCGTCACTTAAATTGGAAAAACCCTATTCGCCTCCCACTTGCGCAAAAAGGGGTGTGACAATTAGAATAACTAATAATTAAGAAGTTTTAAAATACATGGTAACAGGAAAATATATTTTAAAAATTAAGAAATTCTAAAATATATGGTAAGAGAAAAATATTTGGTTAAAATTCTAAAAATAATTAAAATTTGTCATTAGTTTTGGGGGAAAAAGAGTTGAGCCAGGGGAAGGATTCAATGGAACTGTGGCCGCCTCTACCATCAAGGGAGGCTACACCACACATTAAGGAAGTAGACAAGCCAGAAGGCAATTTGGGGAGTGAAATTCCTGCTCAAATTAGTGGGAACCTACCAGGTGAGATGCAAGGAAGTGAGACAGAAGGTGATACACACAGAAAATTAGACGTAAATGTTGAGCCAGCTAAGAAGTGGATGATTTTTTTCAATTCAAATAGGATGTCAGCTAAAGGAATGAGCCTGAGCCTATGTTAGCCCAGTAATGAGAAATGCAGAACAGGTCATTGAATTGAAGAAAGAAGAAGTGGAAAAAGAAACAGCAGAATGGAAGCAAGCTCTTATCCTCTATGTGAATTGCTGCAATTGAGAGGTATATTGCACTACAGGTGAATACTGTTAGTAAACCTAAAGTATATTGCCATAATGATGGTTACTTCTTAGTTAGGTTTCCTAGCTTGGATGATAGGAATGAAGTGTTGTATTCTGGCCCTCATATGCTTAATAACAAACCTATTATAGTTAAAGTTTGGAGTGCTGATTTTAACTTTAATAAGGAGGTTTTGCAAACAGTGCCAATTTGGGTGAAATACCCAAACCTGCCGTTGAATTGATGGAGTATGGATTCGCTAAGTAGAATTAGTAGTGGACTAGGAGTTCCATTGTATGCTGATGAATGCACTACTAAGGTTGACAAGATTTCTTTTGCAAGAGTGCTAGTCGAAATGGATGTAGCAAGGGAATTGCCAAAGAAACTCAAAGTGGAAGATCCAAATGGGAGAGCTTTGAACAAGAAGTGAAGTATGAATGGATTCCAGAATATTGTCCTAAATGTATGCAGGTAGGGCACAAAAGTACTACAAAATAGGGTCCTCGATATAAAACAGCTCCTAAGATTGTCAATAAATAGGTTCAGAAGCAACATATTACCAATGTGACAAGAGTTCCACAAGTAATAAATGGAGAAAAAGATAAGGGGAAGAAACAAGTAAGTGAATAGGTAGAAACATGGCAACAAGTATCTCCAATAATAATAGCTAGAGGAAGTGTAGGTACACAGATAAATGCACTAGAGGTGAGGATGACTAATGGCTTTGATACATTAGTAAGAATGGAACAGGGTTCAACAAGTGTAACAGAGGGTAATGAAAGTGGAGGAGAAGGGTATAGAGGAAATTTACTAGAAATGGTTACATGAAGCTGGTCACATGGAACACAAGGGGAATAAATAAACTTCATAAACAAACGGAACTCAAATTGCTTATGAAGGAGAATAATGTTGGAATTATGGCAATTTTAGAACATAATTTAAAGGAACACTTAGCAGGAAAGATCACAAAAAATACCACAAGGATGGAAATAGGAAGTAAATTATGAACATACTGATAAGGGTAGAATCTGGCTAATGTGGAATCCTCAAGTGAATGATTGTTTGAATTTGAGTAAATTAGACCAATATATACACAGAAGGGTGGTAGTGAAAAGGAATAACATGGTGTTTTGTCTAGTGGTTATCTATGGATTACATACTATTCATGATAGACTACAATTATGGGAAGATTTGAAGCAAAAGGTAGTCAATACACAAGAACCCTTGATCTGTATGGGTAATTTCAATGCAGTGTTAACGGGTGCTGATAGAATTAATGGCAATCCAGTTCAGGAGATGGAAATAAAAGACTTTAATGAGTTTATAATAGATGCTAGTATGACAGAATTGAAGGCAACAGAAAGAGAGTCTACCTGGTCAAATGGATGCATATGCAGTAAGATTGATAGAGCAATGGTGAATATAAAATAGATGTTGAATATGAACCAAGTAGAGATTAGTTTTAGGCAACCAGAAACATCTGATCATTCTCCATTGAGTCTGGAGTTGGACAGTAATATGAGAGGTAATCACTAGGCTTTCAAGTTTTTCAATTGTATTGCTGCTCATCCAGATTTCTTACCAAAGGTGAAGAAAGCATGGAGAGGTGGACATATAAGGGATCTGAAAGAAGTATGGTTTAAGCTCAAGGAAGTGAAAGAAAACCTTAAGCAACATAATAGCAAATAATTCATAGGGGTGAGGAATATTGTAAGGGACATTAGGGGAAAATTGCAAAATATACGGGAGATAATAAGGGATCCATCTACAGTAGCTCAGAATAGACAACAACAAAAGGAAATGCAAATCCAATTAGAGAAATGTAGCTTGATTGAAGAGTGCAATGCATCAGTAGTCCAGAATTTAGTGGTTGAGATTGGGTTATGCAAACACTGCTTACTTCTATGCACACATGAAGAATAGGGTGGCTCAAAACACAATCACAAAACTCAAGATTTCAGATGGTAATATAGCCCAGACACAGGAAGAAATTGAGCTGGAAGTGAGTACATTTTATAAAAATTTGCTTGGTAAGGCTGCTCAGAAGTTACCTAGTGTGAATGCTATGACTATGAGGAATGGTAAGGTCCTTAATAGAGAACAACATTTATTACTAGCAGCTAGGGTGACAAGAGAGGAGGTGGAAATAGCACTCAAAAGTATACATGATATGAAGGCCCCGAGAATTGATGGTTTCAATTCTTTCTTCTTTAAGAAGGCTTGGATAGTGGTTGGAGAGAACATCTTGAATGCAGTTTTGATGTTCTTTGACACAAGTTACATGTACCAGCCTATTAATTGTATAGTAGTGACTGTTATTCCCAAGATTGCCAATCCTACTAAAATTGGGGAGTATAGACCTATTTCATGTTGCACAACATTGTACAAGATCATTTCAAAAGTGATTACTATAAGGTTTCAGAAGGTGATGAGTTCTTTACTTGATCCTAATCAATCAGTTTTTGTTCGAGGGAGCTTTATAAATGACAATATGAGCTATTGAAAGGGTATAATAGGAAAGGTATTTCCAATAGATTCATGATAAAAGTGGATATAAAGAAAGCATATGACTCAATTGAATCGAGTTTTCTAGAGGAAATATTATATGAACTGAAGTTTCAAGCTAAAGTGATCAAGTGGATAATGCAGTGTGTCACCACAATAACCTATTCATTTCAAGTTAATGGAAGAACAACAAAACCATTTAAAGCTCAGAGATAGACAAGGTGACCCCATGTCCCCTTTTCTATTTGTATTGTCTATGGATTATCTCACCAAGAACCTAACAAGCTTACATACAAACCCTGAGTTCCATTATCATCTAAGGTGTAAGAAACAGAGAATTATCCAACTGAGTTTTGCAGATGATTTATTGATGTTCTGTAGGGGTGATGTCAAGTTTCTTAGAAGCTTATATAAGTGCTTTATGTTTATTCCAGTGCATCAGGGCAGGTGGCAAATGTGGACAAAATCTGTGTTTATTTTGGAGGGATAAAACAGAATGTACAGGATCAAATACTACAAGATCTCCAATTTGTGAAAGGTGAGCTCCCATTCAGGTATTTGGGAGTCCCCTTGAGTACAAAAAGAGTGTCTATTGTCCAATGTAAACCCCTTATTGAAAAAATGTTGAATAGAGTCACTTGTTGGACCAATAAAGTCCTATCATATGCTGGCAGAGCTCAATTGGTGAAGAGTGTATTGTTTTCTATACAAACCTTTTGGGCACAAATCTTTGCCCTTCCTAAGAAGATCATACATGCTATTGTGAGTATATGTAGAAAGTTTCTATGGACGGGAAGTGTGGAGGCATCAAAGAAAGCATTAATAGACTGGGAGAAGTTATGTTGGCCCAAAGCAAGTGGAGGTCTGAATTTCCTGGATGTGTTCATCTGGAAAAATGCTGCTATTGAAAAGTTACTATGGAATCTTTGTAAGAAAAAGGATAAATTATGGGTGGAATGATACATAGTTATTATGAGAAAAAAGTAATTTGGAGCATCCAAGCAAATCAAGCATCTTGGCTTGTACAAAGAATACTTAAAGCTCATAAACATCTTCAAGCTGCTGGTTACAACGAGTATAGTTTAAAGCAAATTAATGGAACAATACTTTATTAAAAAGGTTTATGAAAAGATGAGAGGAGATGGGGAGAAAGTGGAGTGGAGAAAGCTGATGTGGTCCAACTATGGTGTACCAAAATGGCTATTCATATTGTATTTAGCTCTAAACAGAAGGCTGTCAACAAAAGATAGAATGGAAAAATGGGGAGTAACATCTTATTTGACATGTCCCTTGTGTCAAGTAGAGGATGAAGATATTGATTACCTCTTTTTTGCATGCAAGTTCACTGCTGGAATATGGAAGAAGCTGCTAGCTTGGCAAATAATACATCGTACAGAAGGGTGGTGGCATGAAGAAATACAATGGGCAACAACATATATGAAGAGCAACATCAACAAAGCTAAGGTGTATAGGATGGTTTTGGTAGGAACCATCTATCACGTGTGGATAGAGCGTAACAACAGAATCTTTCAGTCCAAACAGAGAAATGAGGAGTTCTTGATTAGACACATCATTAAATGGAAGAGGAACCCACCATAGGAAGATAGGTAGTAGACTTTGAGAACTCAATGTGTACCCTTAGGATAGAAGACGTGAGAGGAGTTTGATAGCTAGAATGTGACGTTTCAGCAAGTCTTGGAGCATGGCTGTCCAAGTGTGCTGTTTTTTCAGTTATGTAATGTTCACTTTGGTAAATAAAATTTACTTACCAAAAAAAAAGACTCCTTTTTTGGTTATAACTAATACAAATCATAGTTTGGATTCAACTAAATTTTGGTGTCCTTAAATTTCCGTCAATCAACCATGAGTTTGAATATTTTCCAGCTCGAGATAATATTATAACATCTATTAGATAAACATCAATACTCCTCTATTTGCTAGCTATATTTTTGGATGATTGAAATAATATTTTATTTAACTGTATAGATCTATTTAGTGTTTTGCTTGTGTAGTTGTGTATCATGTTTAATTGATTGTATATTTTTGTAAGAAAGAAAATAAAAGAAAAATCCACATGAATATCTACTCTTTTAATAGGACTCTTAGAGTCTTAGTTATGATGTATCTTTGGAGAAGAAAAAACAAAAGAATATGTAAGTTCTCTCTATCTCTACATATATGAAGGGAAAAGAACAGTTATATCATGATAGCTTTCAAGAGAGGCAGCAAAAAATCATGCTTTTGTAAAAGGACCAAAAATAGCACAATTAACAGATCGTCACATGGAGTTGAATCTATCAAAAATACATAAAAACTCCAATCGAATTAAAGGATAATTGGAGGTCATATATGGAAAACAAAGGAAGGATCAATTCACACGAGGCACTTCAGTTTACCTGAAAGTTAGCCACAAAGGTAAGCTAGTACGAGGTTGGAGGACCACATTCTTGAGATTTGAAGGTAAAAAATGAAAATGAGTAGCTACGGGAAATGAGACAGATGAATCTACATTTTACAAACGTGAGAAGGGAGATACTCACCTTGTAGACGAATCAAGATACATAGGAGGTAGGACTAATAAGTTCAGAAAACTTGATGCTGCCATGGATGATACAGAGAAGTTGAAGAGTTACTTTTTTAAATCCAAAGAGAAGATATAGAGGATAGATCTTTTTTTTTCTTTATATACGAAGAACTTTCCCAATATGTAATTATCTTAATTACTCTCTCTGTCTCATTTTAGTTGACCACTTTCATTTTACATGCATATTAAGAAATGATAAATAAGAGGATAGTGTTACCAATTTATCCCTTAAGAATTTCTTTGGAACTTTACAGACAAGTATGAACACTTTCAAGAAAAATTAATTGCAAGGGTAATATGGGAAAAATTCAACCTATGTTTTCCTAATTTAGTAAGGTTATCAACTAATATGGGACAACTATTTTTAGTATAGTGATCAACTGATATGGGACAAAGGGAGTTTCACCTTAAGGTGGAAAGAAATAAATTCTTTATTTAATTTAGGTAGAAAATCTCAATATTTAGGATTAAGAAATAATTGCCAAAGGACAATATGGTTTGGACCGACGGATCGTAGAAATGGACTATATTGGTCAACCGTAAGTCGAGTTACTGGGGCCTAAAATTGGCCAAATTCCTACAACACCCTTCTACGGACCGTCTAAATTCTGACGGTCTGCAGATCCCATCTGTAGACCTCAACTTTAACCCACAAATTTTACTAAGTCTAGAACCTTTTTACGGAACCCATCTATGACTCCTCAAAAGATTCACAACTCGTCCTATCCACTCGTAAGTCAAACGTCAGACACTTGAAATTCCACAAACTCATCCCCAAGTCCATAACTCCCATCTTACGGCCCGTATAACTTCTTACAGTCCTTAGAAAGGACTCGTAGAACATGTCTCAGTGCCAAAAATCAAAATTTTCCCTTTTTTTTCACATTCCAACTTCCGGGTTGTTATATATAATATGAAATCTAAAATGTATACTAAAGAAGAAGAAGAAGAAGAAGAAGAAGAAGATTAAAAATGTGAGGGAACCCCTCTTTTTAAAGACAAAAAAGGTAGTATGAACATGTGGTTATTATGCCTTATCAGAAAAGGCAAAACCCTTCAGAAAAAAGTCATATTTTTTTTGGCTATATATATATATATACTATTAATTAATGGGATATACCTTAACTAATATTATCTAAATCTCAAATTCATGATGATAATTTAGCATTTAATAATAAAGTCACACGACAATGTTTGGATGAGATTGACCAACAAAGTCACACGACCATGTTTGGATGAAGTTGACCAACAAAGTCACATGACCATGTTTGGATGAGGTTGACCAACTTTTTATTTATTTCTTATTTGACCCTTGTAGCTTTTTTTACCTTATAAATAAGCTTATTCGGAGCTTTCTCTTCCGATCATTGCATTATTCATACACTTCACACAATACTCTAAGCTATTGTTCCTTTGAAGGGAGAGAAGAAATCCCTTGAAAGATCTACAAAATGGGTAGAAAAATAGAGATGAAAATAATAGAAGAAATGATGAACGTCGTGTCACATTTTCTAAGCGACGTAGTAGTTTACTAAAGAAGGCGGAAGAGATTGCAATTTGCTGTGATGTGGACATGTTGTTTGTCGCGTTCTCGCCTGCTGCTCGACTTAGTAAATTTTGTAGCCAAAAGAGGTATTGGATTTACGATTTTGAAAAAATATCGTATGAATATTCCGTTACGATCTATAAAACAATTTGCTTGATTGATTTTTGAACTAAATTTTTACTTTTGTAGAATTGAAGACATTCTTCAACGCTATGTTTAGCTTCCCGTTGAGAGGAGATTGACATACATTAACTTTTCCTAGATTTTCTTGAATTGTTTTTTTTTTATAAATTTTGCTATTAGTAACTTATAATGTAGCACTAACGTATGAGTTTTATTTTTCTTTTGTTGAGGTTAGTGTCACGACCCAGACCGTCGTGATTGGCACCCACACAAACCCTTCGGTGGGAGAGCCATTACTACAATCCAAACAAACAAATTAACCGAATACTATGCATTTAAAGATACATAAGCAGGTTTAAATGACAATAAAAATGGAATCCCCATAAATTCCAAAGGTTTAAACAATTAAATAACCAAACTATGCGGAAATTCAACCCCTAGAACCTGAAAGTCAATGTACCAAAACTCTACTAACGACAAGTTTAAGAGCAAGGGGTACAACCCCGAAACTAAACAAAACCCTTAAGAAATAGTATGAGTCCGAAAAGAGTGGACTTAAACAAGAAATATCCATGGCAGCCTGAAAGAACTAGCTCACCCTTGAACCCGGTCATGCTCATTCGTCACCTAGCTAAAGTCTATCAATAGCCACCTGAAGATGCCTATACTAAACAAAGAAAGAGCAAGTGCAGTATTAGTACACAACCACATTGTACTGGTAGCATCACGTGGCTATCTCAATAAGTGAAACACATGCAAGTAATCACAACATTATAAAACAGGTATATACCGAACATATACCATATTAGTCATCTTTTCAGGATCAATGTAGCATCCCACATTCTCAATA